ATCCCTAGCTGGCGGGGCGGGTGCTGACGAAACTAGACTAGAAGATGAGGGCTGAAACCTCTGCTGAGATGAGCTAGCAGCACGACGAGGACACTCCCTTCGCATATGACAAACTCTCCACACTCATAGCAACTCCCAGGTGTTGGGGATTGGGACTGAAGGGAACCCCTCGCACCGGAGTGACTAGCTAATGCACTCGGCCTGGAAGAACCCTTAGCAGACGGAGCACGAGATGAACTCTGTGATGGAAGAGCGTTGAGAGATGGCTAACTCTGCTAAGAACCATGGTAACCACGACCTGAAGATGCCCCGCGATACTCGGGACGGGCCGACTCAGCGGGCCTGAAGGAACGACCCCGACCCTGCTGGAACTGGCCCCTCGAAGGAGTGCCACTGTAACTACCAGAACCTCGAGGCCTCTTGGCCTCCCTCTCATCTCGATCCTGACGGCGAACCGCTTCAATCTCTCGGGCTATATCAACCACCACCTCGAATATGGAACCCAACACTCGCTCCCTAGTCATAAGAACTCGAAGAGGGTAGCTGAGACCGTCAACAAACCTCCGGATACGCTCATGATCTGTCGGAACCAGCCAAACTGCTTGCCAAGCCAACTCTGAAAATCTCATCTCATATTGGGACATTGTCATATCTCCCTGTCGTAGCCACTCAAACTGTCTGCGCAGCTCCTCTCTGCGGGACTACGGTACATACTTCTCCAAGAAGAGAGTGGAGAACTCCTGCCAAGTCAAAGGTGTTGTACCAGCCGGCCTACGCCGCTCATACGCCTCCCACCAAGTTAAGGCAGCTCCAGTAAACTGAAAAGTAGTAAACGCCACCCCACTGGACTCAAGAATCCCTGCTGTACGAAGCATTCGCTGATATCTGTCGAGAAAACCCTGGGCATCCTCGCCCTCAGTACCACTAAATGTCGGAGGCTGGAGCCTACCAAACCTTTCGAGGCGACGCTGCTCGTCCTCGGGCATAACTGGAACCCTGAACTCCTGTACTGGCATAGCTGGCTGAGCTGGAGGTGCCTCTGGAGTCTGTAATCCCTGCACTACCTGCTCAGGTGTGCAAGCAGCGGTGGTCTGATTGCCTCCCCCGGCCTGTGAAGTAGCTGCTGCTGATGTAGTGGCTGAGACCACTTGAGCCAGGCTCGTGCACATTGTCATGATCTGAGCTAATATCTCCTGAAGGCCAGGAATCACTATGGGCACAGCTGGTGCCTGAACTGGTGCTGCTGGAGCCTGATCCTGAGCTGGGGCAACTGGAGGGTCCACAGGTGCTGCCCCTGCTGCTCTGCCTCTGCCACGACCACGACCGCGTCCACAAGGAGTTTAGTACTCGGATCAACAAGTTCGCACGACAAGAATTCCAAGAAAGTGAAGTTTCCTAAAAGGTTCTGCAGCCTCTCGAGGATAAGTACAGACGTCTCCACACCGATCCGCGAGACTCTACTAGACCAGCTTATGACTCATGAGACCTAGTAACCTAGGCTCTAATACCAACTTGTCACGGTCCAAATCCCAAACCCGGCCGTGATGGCGCATCTCGTGAAGACAAGGCCAGCCAGAACAATGCCAACACCTCTTTTAAGCAGTTAATTACCATTAAACAATTCTAAAGCATGATTTAATAACAATAATTCGCGGAAGTATAGAATATAACAGTAGAAACCATCCCGACACAGCCCAAACCAGGGTGTCACAAGTCATGAGCTACTACAGAATTTCTATAAGTCTACAAACAGAATATTTGGTACAGAAGTCTAGAATAACTGAAATAGCATGAAATAGGAGAGTCAAGGGGGCTGCGGACACCAACAGCTACCTCGAAGCTCCGAACTCGCTGCCTGATCTAGACATGGATATCAATGCTCAGGAACGGACTCTGCTATGCCTAAATCTGCACACATGGTGCAGGGAGTAGTGTGAGTACTCCGACCCAGTGAGTAATAATAATAAATAATAGCTGAATATAAGAAAACACATAACAGCACAAGGCAGTTCTATATCAGGCAGTAAATCACTTAAAGCAGTAAAATCCGTGAAATCGTGTGAAATCTCCGTTTTAAAGGCAGGTACATCAGGTAAAATAGCTAATAAGTGGTAAATAGTAAAACTGCCCCTCGGGCCCAGTATCAACCGCTCAGTACAGTAACTCAAATTACTCTCAGAATAGTATCATATAATAACCACTGTGGCGTGCAACTCGATCCACATCTCGCTGCGGCGTGCAGCCCGATCCATCGCTGCGGCGTGCAGCCCGATCCATATGGGTACCCGCGCTCACTGTGGGGGTGCAGACACCGGAGGGGCTCCTACAGCCCAAGCGCAATATTGCTGCGGCGCAGCCCGATCCACATAAACATTTGCTGCGGCATGCAGCTCGATCCATATGAGTATTTGCTGCGGCATGCAGCCCGATCCATAATATATATAATATCCTCACTGTTGGGTTCTCAACCCCTCTCAGTCATTTTAGGACACAGTAGTATATGGTAGGGATCTCAGCCCACATACCTTCCCTCATTTAGGATTAACACTTATAAAAACAGTTCACGTTGTTTAATCAAATAGAAACATGACTGAGGATGTGATTTTTACTAAGAAAAGTGAGGAAAATCAGTCATAATGCCCCTAAGGGTTTTACAAGTCGGCACGAGTCCCCAAACATGGCAACTAGCCCAAATCATGATGATAAACAAATCAGCTTAATCAAATACATAGTAAAATATCAAACGGGACGGACCAAGTCACAATCTCCAGTACTTAACAACCCCGCGCTCGCCATTAAGCGCGTGTTTCACCTCAATATAGCACTACGTTGTGCAAATCCGGGGTTTCAAACCCTCAGGATATCATTTACTATCATTACTCACCTCAAGCCGGCCAAAATCCTTGCTTGCTATGCCCTTGCCTCGCAAATCGACCTCCTCGCGCGTCGAATCTGGTCAAAACCACAACGAATACGTTACAATAGGCTAAGGGAACATAACCCAATCAAAAAGACTCAAAAAATATCGAAATTCACGAAATTGGCAAAACCAGAGCCCCGGGCCCACTTCTCGAAAAATCAGAAAATTAACATCATCGGATGCCTTATCTCGCCACGAGTCTATACATACTAAAAGCTCCCAAATCCGAGCCCAAATGACCCATCAAACTCCACTTTAAAATACAAAATTTCCAACCCCTAGCTTTACCGTCTTTTGATGAATTTCCACAAATTTCTATGTTAATTCTACCATTAAATCATGTATTAAGGTCAAGGAACTCACCTCCAATCACACCTAGTTGAAATCCCCCTCAATTTCCGTCCAATAGCTCTCAAGGTCGATCAAAAATGGTGGAAATGAACTTAAGCTCGCGGAACAAAATGTGCTTTAAAACCCTTCTCTGAACAGTGATTTTCGCATCTGCGGTTACCTTACCACATATGCGACTACCGCTTCTGCGGTTCTCCATCCGCTTCTGCGGAATTCCCGATCTCGCCCAGGACCGCTTCTACGGTCTCGTATCTGCATTTGCGGACACTGCTTCTGCGCATCTTTTCCGCTTCTGCGGAAAATCACCATAGCCCAACCTTTGCTTCTGCGATTCCTCCACCGCATCTGCGGCATCGCAGATGCGGCTAGTAGCCCGCACCTGCAGAAACAACAAATCTCTCAAGAACTCACACCTACGACCAGCCCCTCGCACCTTAAAGAATATGAAATAGATGTATTAAACAGGTTATTGTCTAGTTAGAGAATATAAATTCCGACTTATTGAAATTGTTATATTACAGCTGAGTATATAGATGCATTCCGATGAATTCTGACTAGTTACGTATATAACTCTGGCACTGTCTATAATAAACTATCAAAGTATATGTGGACAAGGTTATATTCGATTGTATCCAACACATTAAGGCAACTATATGTATTCCGAATCTATTCACGAAAGACATTTCAGAAATTATTACTTTCAAATGAGAATTTATTACATGACAATTGCATTATAAGTATTGACAAATCGTTGAAGCACCAATACATGTAAGAATGTTAACTATTTATTACGTGGAGCATTTTTATACGTTCGCTTGTTATGTCCTCCCTGCCCACATATGCTACATGAATGTTGATTTTTCGGCTGCAGCAATTCACTTAGAGGTTTATCGCGCTTCTTCTTTGGCCTTCCAGGAGGTCTTTTCCATTTGGGTGGTAGTACAACCTCCTCTGCAACATGTGCTGGTATATTCCAGTCATTTCTCTCCGGTAGCGGGTACACGGGCACATGGTATGTCATTACAACAGTATTTGGTTTGTAACAGTTAGAGCAATATTCGTCTGGCATTAGAAACTTGCTCTTCAATACAGGCCAAGCATGTGGGCATGGCAATTCATCAACTTGGAACCTCCCACAAACGCATTTTCTCTCTAACAGGCGTACTGTGTAATTCCTCCCTCCATCGTTAACCGTATGTAAGTATTCAGTTGATGGTACCAGCTACATTTAAAATTAGAAATATAAGTTTTGAGCACATATAACTGAATTACCATATGTCTAATGCTGAATTACTCTGTTACATACAACTGAAATATTTTCATACAGATGAATACATCATATATTTAGACCAGCGGACTATTAACTGTAATTAGTGTAGAACTTATCAAAAGTCTTCTATAATTTAGGCAACGGGAGGCTAACAAAAACATTGGAAGAATACGTCATGACAATACATATTAAAATCATATATAATACAGATTCGTTAGTTGTATTCTGATGTATTCGAATTTTATTTGTAGCATGTTTTTAGTTATATTCAGTTGTTTTCATACCAGATCTTCGAAAAGTATGTCTTGTATGTGTTTGAATTTAGTTGTATTCATATATATTCATGGTAGTTGTATTTTGAAAAATAATTGTATTCAGATGTATTCATGCCATTAATTCAGAAAACAATTAAGCTATATAATAGAATGACCTTAAAATAAAACTTACAGTCATACGTGTTTACATAGCCTCATTCAAAATCAGCATATCCTGGTATTTTTTTCCAAGCATCGTGTATGTCTGTGTAGCTTCTTTACGGTTACTACAACTCCAACGTCCAAACAACTTCCTAACTTCTTCGAGGAAGTCGTATATTGGCAATTCCCTTGCTGAAACTAGTGTGGCATTGATTGACTCAACAATATTTGACGTCATTGTCCATCCCCTGTTAATAGGTGCATACAACCTAGCCCACTTTTCGTATCCAGCTAACTCTAAGTATTCTTTCACCCTAATATCTACCTTCTCCGCCTTCTCCATCAGACTGCCAAATTCAGCTTGTGTGTATGCTTTTGCCATCGAGAAGTATATCTCGCTCAACTTGGCATGGCTCTTTTTGAATTTCTTATATACATTATTCCATAGATGCCATATACAAGCAAAGTGCGGTACATCTGGATACACTCTCGATACAGATTTAATGATACTCTCATTTCTATCTGAAACGATGCACATGTTTTCCCTGTCACCGTATGCTATCTTGAATTGCTCAAAGAACCACGTCCAGGCAGCATCGTTCTCTGAATCAATAACACCATATGCTAGTGGAAATATATGACCTATAAATACAATTCAATACATATTTTTAAAACATGTATTTCAATCTTTAAAATATTAACAGATTGTATTATAATTAAGGTACTCACCTGCACCATCCAACGTGCTTGCCGAAACGAATGTCCTGGTGTAGTAATATATTAGGTGACTTCCATCCACTACAACAATGGGCCTACAATGATCAAACCCCTTTATAAAGGCATACAAGGATATATACACGTACGTGAATTCATTTTTTGGAGATTTTACCATTCTGATGTGGGAACCTGGATATGTCATATCCATTGTATATAAGTATCCTGGTTATTTTTTGTATGAATCAGTCGGTTCACCTCTCAAAAAATTCATTGCCTTTTCTTTATTCCACGCCAACATGTAGCTAACATCTACACCTAAATCTGATTTCGCATCATCAATAATATCCATTGGGGTGTATTTCCTATTATGGTTAGTAAGCTTAGGCCTTATCATACCACCTATAAGGCTGCTACTAGCCTGCCGCTGCTCATACACCTTGTCCTTCAGCGGACATGTATGGTTATCATTGAATTCTCTCACTTTGAATAGTTCTGATTTGTTAATGCTTGAAGCCTTAAACCTCCATTCACAATCTTCTGAAATACATAATAATGCATAGCTGCAAAGAACTAATCATTGTACATTTTATTAGCATAAGTGTTTACAAAAAAAATCACTCATATACACACGAATACAATCTGACATAGATACATCTTGACATCTATATGTATAAATTTTTATACTACTGGATTCAATTATAGTTATATGCATTCAAATTTAATGAATACAACTGAATACAATTGTGGGCATATGCATACACTTAATACCACAGTATATGCATACCAACTGAATACAATTGTGTCGATGCCATCATCATCACTATTGTGTATTTATACCAGTAAAATACATATGAATACATGTGTTTAAGGACCCTAAACAAACATATGTTTACTGCTCTGTGATCATCAAGAGGAAATACACAAATACGCATAAATACAACAACGTTAAACTTACAGATCGAACCAGTAATAGAAAATACAAAAAAAAATTAAATACATGCAAACCTGACAGCATTAGACCTATCATCCCGGAATTGAAACCTTAGAGCTATAGCATAATTCTCCATCACCTCTTTCAATGTAGCCTTATCCTTATACACTTGTCCATCCATAACCTCCTTTTGATTAGTTTTTGAAATTATCAAATCCTTGTGGAGTTCGAACACTCCAATCGCTTCTCCTGAATTGACAAAATCTAGAGCCAGTGTATAATCTGTATCGGAATCAAACCTTTGAACTGCTTCGTCTATTTGCACAATGTCGCGTTGATTTATAATACCTCCGGATATAAGTTCTTTTTAGATAGTTGTTATGGACAAAGGATACATCCCAAATTCTCTGTTCTCTTTTTTTAATTCTACATACACTCTGTAACCCATATCATTCTGTATTTCCATTGGCGTGCGATTTCCTTCTACTTTGTATTGAATTTTAATGGTCTTTGAGCTCAAATCTATACCCAGTTGATTAAAATTTGAAGCAACCAGATCATTAAAGGAGGCATACTCCTTTATCAGTATTCCCTCAATTGAAAAATTGATGTAATTGCCCTCATCGTTCCACTTGCCAGAACGACGCAACAACACTGTTAAACTTGCCATATGTATAAAGGAACTATACCTTATTTTGTATATAATTTGTATCAATCGAGAAAAAGGAGAAGCGAATGGAAGAAGTTCGAACGGATGTTGCTCTGGTTTTGCGCTGTATTCACGTTTTTGAGTTGATATCTTCGAGCAGAATACAGATTAATGGGTACTGGTTTTTGTTCCTTGAGTTAAATTAGGCGAATATCATGTGATTTGATTTTCTTCCGTTTTTAACTAGTTTAACCTTCCAGATTTTGCGCAGATACGTTACTGTATTCACGTTAATGCCGCTTGAATACAGTTAAATACATATCAAACTTAACTAGAATTCCCTTTTTAATGCCTATATTTTCTATTGTATTAATGAATACAACAGCTTAAATACCTAAAATACATTGTATAAAAATATAAAAAGTATCTATAACACGTAATATAGCAAAAGGTATCTATAAATTGCTAATTAGACCTAAAAGATGGTGCTTTACGAAAAATTCTCTTCTTTATTGTTCTCCACTTCACCCCAGTACAAATTGTTTACCACTATACCAAGATTGTGACGTAAATTGAATCAATCGATAAAAATTAAATTAACATTTTTTTTCCTTATTTCATTACCACACTTGGAGCAAGTGCAGATCTCAAGCAATTTTTTTAACTCATTTTTGACATGTGTACATCTATGGCTGGGCAGCTTTTATAATTTTTGAAAGAAAATTTCTTTTAGGCATCTTTCTTCGAATTATAAGCAAAATAGTCGGTGATTACAATTTCTTCAGAAAGTAGAATTACAATCATTTGTCCGTTGTAAATTCCTCTACCCCCTTTGAATGCAAGGGTTGAGACTAAAAATACGGGTCAAAGCAAATTTCAATTTCATTTTTCAAATGTCTTTCTTCATCTGCATATTCTTCGAATTGAGCTTTTTTGGAATTTTCTCATTGATTGAGGCTTCATTAACTTTAATTTTGTGAGAGCTTTGTACTTCAAAATTCATCTTTTTGTTATTATCCTGGGTCTTGTGTTTCTGACACGTGATGAAAATATTTCATAAATTCACTTTTCCTCTTTTGGTACAAAGATCAGGAAAGAAGAGCTAACCAAATGGATTTGTAAAAGAAAAAAAGGATTTATAACAAGAGAAGAGGATGGTGAGATCCGTATGGAGGAGAATGTATTGGGAAAAAAATGAGGAATGACCGGGAGTTGGTGAAAGGTGACGGAAAAGTGATAGTGAAGGGTAGGGTCCACAGCTCCATGTGTCAAACGGTAAATAGCCTCATTCAAGTATGATGTCGCATGTCTCACACATCGTAAAATTTCTCATCGTGACACGAGGCCTCTGAAGTTTTAAACTTCCTTTTTTTTTAAATGAATTTAAATTTCCATTTCCCATGTTTAGCAATAACAACAAAAAGAAAAAAGTTTATAAGGACTTATAACACTACGATTCAAACATGATTGTATTTTGACTGTTGTAACACGTAATTTGCATGGCTTTGAACCGAATATTTATGCAAATTTTAGCGTTTACAGGAAATTTCCTCTTTATATAATTATAACTATCAAATAAGAGATACTACACTTACATTAGTCAAAAGGTTGAGAAAGACAATATAGATGCTCATAATTGTGATGACCTTTCATCACTTGTTTTAAATTAAATTTTGTGATTTCGATGTCTTGAAAACCTCATTAAGAGCCACCTCGATCTGCGTGCGCAGTCCGGGCGCGTAGCTGGAAAGCTTATATGTCAAAATTTGTGAAAAATGCTAAGTTTTGATTATAAAATGAGTAAATTTGACTTCGGTCAACATTTTAGGTAAATGGACCCGGACCCGTGATCCGACGGTCCCGGAGGGTCCGCAGAAAAATATGGGACTTGGGCGTATGCCTGGAATCGAATTCCGAGGTCCCGAGCCCGAGAAATGAATTTTTAAAGGAAATTATTTTCTGAAATTGTTTAAGGAAATTTGAAATGAAATTAGATTAAAACGTGTCGGTATCGGGCCCGTATTTTGGTTCCGACGCCCGGTACAGGTCTTATATATGATTTAAGATGTTTCTGTAAAATTTGGTTGAAAATGGACGTCGTTTGACGTGATTCGGACTTGAATTGCTAAATTTGATACTTGATGGAGTTTGAGAAAAGTTCTTGAATTTGAGGTTTGATTCATTGTTATTGAGGTTATTTTGGCGATTTGATCGCACGGATAGGTTCATATGATGTTGATGAGTTAGTACCTATGTTTGGTTAGGAGCCACGAGGGCTCGGGTGTGTTTCGGATGTGTTTCGGGAAGTTTTGAGTTTAAGAAAAGTTGCAGATTTTCTGCAGTCAGTGCCCATGGATTTTACCCTTCGCGTTCGCGTGGTACCTCTCGCGAACGCGTAAGGCAAAGATCCTAGGTGCCCAGTTTCTTCCTCGCGAACACGAAGGTTGAGACGCGAACACGAAGCCGAGGGGGGAGACCCTTCGCGAACCCGTCCCTCCTCTCGCGAACGCGTAAGGTTGAGGGGAGAGGTCACCAGCTTATTCACCGCGAAGGCGACCAATGGTCCGTGAACGCGTAGGCTCGAGGAGCCAAGCTCCGCGAACGCGAGCCACATTCCGCGAACGCGAAGGCCTAGCAGGCCTAACCCATCACGAACGCGAAGAACACTTTTGCCCAGTTATTTTAAAGTCTCAAAACAGAACCCATTACGGGATTTTCATAAAAATTCATAAACCCCTTCTTCTCCAAAGCTCTTAGGCGATTTTTGAAGCACTTCTTTACCAAAACTTTTTGGGTAAGTAATCTTTAACTTGTTTTCTTCATTTTCCATTAACACCCACAAGATTTCTAGGCCTAAAACATGTAAGTAAGGGTAGAAAATTAGGAATTTGGTTAGAACTAGGGCTTTTTGATTAATGGTTATTTAGACCTCGTTTTGGGGTCGAATTCTGAAAATAATTATATATTTGGGCTCGTTTGTGAATGGGGGATTTGATTTTGGTCCGAACCTCGTGTTTTGACCAAGTGGGCCCGGGGTCAATTTTTGGATTTTTGGGAAGAATGATTGGAAAGCTATAGTTAGGCATTGGATTCGAATGGTTTAGCATTATTTGATGTTATGAAGTCATTTATGTATAGATACAATTGATTTGGAGCCGAATTTAAAAGGAAAAGTGGTGTTTGAAGCTTGAGTTGGCCGTGGAAGTTCGAGGTAAGTGTTTGGTCTAACCTTAGCTTGAGGGATTAGGAGTTGTGTCCTATTTGCTATGTGGTTTTCGTTGTATACGACGTATAGGTATGGTGACGAGTATCTATACGTTGGTGTCTAACATGACCGTGAGTCTTTATATTGTGAATATCTTGTTTTTGTTATATCCTTCATGCTTTGTGATGATTTCTAGTTGTTGTGAAAAAATTGCGGAAGGAATTGAGACCTTTGAACATATTGGAGCATTGGCTCGAGTTATATTATGAATTGTGAAAGTATATGAGATGATTGAACCCTTTGGAGCATTGGCTCAAGTGGTAAAGCGAGTTATGAAGTATAAGTGAAAGATAGAGAAAGAGTTATTGAAATGTTCCCTTGCCGAGATTTAATTGTTTAATTGTTGTTCCCTTGCTGGGATCTAATTGTTTAATTGTTGTTCCCTTGCTGGGATTTCTATATGTTCTTATTTATTTCCCTTGCCCTTGTTTGTGATTGTTGTTTGGGTGAGGAAGAGTGTTGAAGCACGATGGGTGATGCCGTGCACTGTTGATATTATGAGGAAATAGTGTAAAGCACGAAGGGTGATGCCGTGCCGCACGATGTACCATTCCGTGCTGATTATATTGATTATATGGTGAGGAGAGAGAGTAAAAGCACGAAGGGTGATTGTTGATACCCAATTTTTTCCTACCTATTTTTTATATTCAAAATATTCTCAAAATAGCATGTATAGGCATGCCCAAAAGTTTGGTATTTTTTCTTTAATTTTAAAGATTTTTAGATCAATTTATTGTCTATTTTTACACTACAAAATTCAATAATAATTTCCAAACTAGCATTTTTGGTGAATAATGTATTTCATTCTCATATTTACACTATGATATAATTAAGGTGATTTTTGCATATTTTTTATAAATTTATTTGATATTTCTAAGCTAAAATTAAATAAATTGCAATTATAGCCTATATTGCGATTAATAGCATTTTACAATTATAAAATTGCTCCCAGTATTTTTAGATTAATATTTATATATTATTAATTAATTCAATGCTTTTAATTTGTTTTTAATATTATTTCAACTATTTTAATTAAATTAAAAAGGGAAAATTGGCTATTTAATATATAGCCCATCTGCATTTTAATTATAGCCACATTACAGTCCCCAATTTAAACCCAATTTCAACCGGCCCAATTCCTAAAACCAACCCAACCCCTAACCCAATTAAATTACCCGACCAGACCCCCTTTTTAAATCACAGCCGTCGAACTAAAAGATCAACGACCCAAACACACCCTTTCCTTTTTAATTTAACAAACCCCCCAACCCTAATTCATTTTTTCCTAACCCGCCGCCCTTGAATCTCCTTCCTCTCCCATTCTCTCTGCAAACCCTAATCGCCGCCACCCAAGCTAACCCTAATCCCTGCAATTCTCGCCGGTTTCCATGGCTTCTCAGGCCGTGAAACCCTCATACTCACCTCATATTGCTCCTATGTGCTTGGTATTCGAAGGTTTGAGGCTAGACCTCAAAGGTCTCCACCCAGACCTCCGCCGACTTGAGGTTTCCGGCCATCTCCGGCCTGGCTCCAGCACGTCTTGGCCCCTGAGCCTGTTTCCAGTCCTATCCGACTTAGATCGGATGTTTTCGAAGCCTTTCTCATTCTAGGGTTCATCTGAAACCCTAGCTGTCGAGGTTTTTCCCCGATTCTCTTCAGATATGTGTGTATTCATGCTTTACTTTGAGTTTTTAAGAGGTTTCCCCAACTTTTCATTAAAATTTTTACTTTCAAAGTCACTTCTTTCTTAGGGTTT